ACTGGTATGTTGTCCTCTGTTCATGTGGTTTCACCGTTAAGTATATTGCGCTAGGAAAGCGGTTTACGATCGAAGTACCGCTGAATCGGGACCTCAAACTAAAGCCAAAGGGTAATGATCTAATTTTAGTGTTCGGGCCAACATTTTTAATCCCAGAAACCTCCTGTCAGACGAATAGCATGGTTACTATGGCGATCCGCCTACTTCTCTATGGCCATGAGCCCTCGAAACATGTAAGGCTTGTCCACTTTTGCTGTGGTCATCGCTTAACGGAGGCGTCATTTCAACTAGGCTTAACATCCCTTGGTATTGGTTTACAAATTGGATCTTTGGACGAGATCTTGCTCGCTTCTAAGTGCGGGACACCTGATGCGCGTCAGTAACGATTTCAGCACGCACATGCTTGGATATATCTTTCACACAGACAGTGACCAAGTACGTGAGAGTTCGAATGAAATTGATCAAGGTTTTGGACCTCAGCGGACTGCCACTGCTTTGCTTTTTTTACGTGCGACAAGTTAGCTAGCCTCCCACCGCACGAAGGGCAATATAAACTGTCGGGACGAAAGTGACCTTGTCGATTGAGTCAACATATCAAAGAATGGTTCGCAACGTCCAAGGCGCATGCCATTTGGCATGCATGTGGACACAATCAGCATCTATTAGCTATATGCGATAGATGCTAGGACATTTGGCAAATCGGATGCTCAACACTGGGAGAACGGCAGGAGGTATGCTCCGTCACGGGCAGCTTCGAAGAAGGGACAGTTACTTACACCGATCACGTTGAAAGTCCTCAGTCGGGGCTGTCTCGTCTGTCTGAGCAACTTCGATCGCATTGCGTTTAGGCTCGCACAGGCCGTTTCCCTGAACGATGACGTTCGAGTATGTATACTATTCGGATGATCGAACCGTCGCCGGGTCGGATGACAGGGGTATTGGGTTATCGATGCTGTCCGGATGAGACGCCAGCATGTCCATTCCATAACTTGTGGCAAAGAAAGGTATCGGAGTGTTTAAAGACGTTATGATGTCCCTTGCACGACAAGCAAGTATCTGTCTTATGGCGCGCAGTTCTGGGAATGGAGGGGGAAACACAGACCATGCCTTCGTCGATCCCCCGGAGGAGGGGATGTGACAACTGGGGAGGTGGTAGTTCTGCGAGACCACGCCTGACAACAGTGCTGTCGGTTAATTCCCCTGCTTCTGCGTACATGATTCTGTATTGAAGCCTCAGGACATCTGACACGGTAATGAACATGAGATTGAGACTTCAGTTCCGTGGTCTCGCTGGACTCGAGCGGCTCCGACGAATCATCCTGAAGCAAATAAAGCGATCCGTAAGGGAGGGGGGGTATGAAAGGCTGCTGTGCATTGTGACCGCGACGCTAGACGCACCCGAAGGATCCTAGTAGTCAGTACCGCGACTCACAACTTCCTTGACCTGGGTAATGGTGCGTCAGTCAGTGGAAGTAAAAAGTTTAGTTGGCCGAACGCACAGTTGGCCGAAGAAGTATCGTGTGCTCCTGCAACATAGCATAGGTTTAATTTAATCGCGGAAAAAAATCGAGTACTTACAAACTGGGCTGTCATGGATCCGGGTTGATCTTTCAACGGTGGATAGTCTTGAACAATACCTTCTTGCACGAGTTTTTGAAGCTGCGGGGCGTCCTTCCGTCATTAAACACGCGGTAACATGAAAAACTTTCCTTACCCCATACAAGTATGACGTCTCGCCAGCACGATCAAGGTATCGCCTACAGAATGGTAGTGTACCGAAGTGCTTGTTGATGGCAGAAAGCACCTTCTTAGCCGATGCCGGAGCATCTCTGCTACCAAAAATCAGCCCTCCCTTAATTCGACCAAAGCTCTGACAAACCTTCTTGGCTTTGGACCCCCTAAAATCTTGGCATAGTGTGAGACCTCCCCCTGCATCTGATGTGAGTCTAAAACGAAATGCGACGTCATCCAACTCACACTCTCAACCACATGTCCCCGGCCCGTGCTGCCAAACGTCTCGATGGCAAAATACTCCCCCTCCTCCATTTTGGTCCTATCTCCGGTCTTCACGATCGGTACCGACTTTCCGCCATGTATTTGGTACAGCCCGATGGTATGGCCAGTTAGATTTTCGATCGACTTAACTAAGATTTACGACTAAATATTATGAGGCTAATGCCAATGAGGCATCACTGACTTGGCAAGGTGTTTGTCCCGATTGTCACTTCGTAGGATTCCATGGTCTCTTGAATGTAGCCTCCTATTTCCCCTAATCTGACGTCTATTCCTGCTTCCTAAATATTCGGGGGATTGGGAAGCAAACAACGGAACCACTGGAGGTGCAACTTACCCGAATTCCTGTATTGGTTGCATCTTTGACGGCTGTCAGCAAGTTCTCGTAGTCCGGATTCCAAGATAATGTGAACGCGGAGTCACATATCCTCCCTTTCACTTGCACTCCAATGTCGACCTTCAAGATGTCCCCCGATTTGAGCACTGACCAGGAACACCGGTCAGAAGACCCCTCACAGCGGAGTAGAACATGCTCACCAATCTTATCACCTGCATTTGGCGTATAATGGGCAGCACAGTCATTGAGACTGAGACCTGTTGGGAAGCCAATGCCGCTTTCCATTCCCTTCTCTTCGACCAGAGCTCTGGTACTATCCTCAATACCATTGGCAATTTCTGTCATTGTCATTCCCGGACGAACCCAACGGCGCGCGTATTCTCGCACTTGCCGGTGCACTTCCGCTGCGCGGCGAATTGAATTGTACGTGTGCTCGGGATCTTGGTTAATTTGCCGCTCAACATATCGTTTTTCCTCCGAAGTTGTTCGATAGTGGTTGCTATCAAACAGAGTTAAGCCAGAGCAATCAAGAACACCAACGTGGCACACTCGTCTTTATATTCCTGTATTTGACCCTCCGGGTAAACATTATTTGGGAAAAGCTTAGAGAGACCGACTCGGGGTGGATCACTTTGGACAGCCTTCTGCACTTTCTTCTTCCTCTTCTTCTTCTTCTCAACTTCTTCTCCACGTCAGAGCAAATAGTTAACAAGTTAGAACGGCGCCAATCGTACCTTCAATTGGAGACGCTCTTTCGTTCCCATTCTCATCTCCCTGTTCTTCGACAAGAGAGAGATCGGTAGCAGTCCTTGGAACCTTATCATCGGGAGGGACCGCCCGAGCCTCAGCGCTTGCGGCAGCTGGTACCTCTTGTTCCGTCGAAGCCATGATTTGCAAGACCGAGGTCTCTGCGGAAGCAAACCTGGAGACCTCCGATGCAGGCACGGAAGCCACGATTGAAGCGCCTGCACAGCTCTGACTCGATTTTTGGCATTCCCTCAACAACTCATTCAGTGTCCGCACCACCTACTGACGGCCATTCATCATGTCTATGGTAAAGGTGCGCGATTGGATGTTGGGACCGGTGGGGACGATTATTCTTACCCCCTTGTTCGGATCTCGCAGATTTGGTCTATGAAGAAGTCGCAAGATGCGGCTGCCAAGAAGAAGCCAAAAACGAGTGCAGCCCAGATCCGTGTCCAGAAAGGTGCGTGCTGTTTTGTCGTGTGATCGGACGATCTGCTGACCTTCTTCTGACTTGTTCAGATTTGACGGAGCTGGAGCTGCCGAAAACGATGACGACCACGTTCCCTAACCCCGAAGATCTTCTCAATTTCACGCTTACACTGACACCAGACGAAGGCTAGTTACCAGCTTAGCTCGTTTCCCTCGATCTTTATGCTAAATGTTGGTTCAGGAATGTACCAGGGGGCATCCTTTGATTTCTCCTTCAACATCAACAATAATTACCCGCATGAGCCACCAAAGGTCAAGTGCATCCCTAAGGTTAGTCCCACCTGTCCATTGCGCGTGTTGTAACTCAACTTTGTTTGCATGGCAGATTTATCATCCTAACATAGACCTAGAGGGAAATGTTTGTTTAAATATTCTTCGGGAAGACTGGAAGCCCGTGCTCAACCTCAACTCGGTCATGGTTGGGCTTCAGTATCTTTTCCTTGAGCCCAATGCCGATGACCCCTTGAACAAAGGTGGGTGTCAATTCTCAGCGGTGTCATTCGGAATTCACAGCCCTCCTAACACGTACAGATGCGGCCGAGGACCTGAAACGGGATCGCGAGGGCTTCATGCGGAACGTCAAGAATTCTCTGAGGGGTGGGACGGTCAAAGGAGAAACATTTGACCGCGTTTTCGTCACGTCGCGATAGACATGTGCTCATATGATCATAGACACCGCATACACACCGATACAGCACCTTATCTGCCGTAATGTACCTTCATACTTGATTTGCCGTCAACGATACCTTCACTTCCCTTTGTGATCGGTTTTGTCCCATTCATTGATATGCAAACCGTGGATTAGACCGTTTCTGGGCCACATATCAGGAACCCCTGTATGTAGTGTAAGACCAAGGGCTAAGCAGTAGGGGGATATGATAATGTTCGTCCTTGGCGATATGGAAAGTAATCTTTAAATGGCCACAAGGCTTAGTCAATGTCCCCTTGGAGCAAACTGGTATTGTCCTTACATCTATTACGGGGTAAAATGAATCTCTTTTGGTAGCCACAAAGTAGTCGCCAGTTTGGAACGTGAGCTTATAGAGACCAGGCTTGAGCTGATGGTTAGGATCGAGCAACGTTTCACATCGTCCTTGCTCATTTGTGGTTCTAGGTAATCTAATGTGTTGCATCCAGTATACACGAGAAAGGGGCATCCCATCATACCCTTTCCCCAACATATCGAATGCAGAAGTGTCAAAGTTAAACTTTTCTAAGAAGACGCCAATATCTTCAGCGGGTTTGCCAAAGCTGGAATCCAAGACTAGTGGAGTCAAAGCTGAGCGAGGAGATTCCTTTATGGTGGAGCTAAATTCACCGTGGCATGTCACAGGGGATCGAGGTAGAGCCATCTTCTACCACAGGCTGTAATCGGTGTGGCCAAATTGGCGAGGCGATTAATGTCGCTCCCCAGACACGTGACTTTGCGTTGTCGATTCAGATTTTTCAGAGCTCTGGATGGATGACTTGTACACATTTGAAGTGTTGGCTGCGGTCAACAAAATCACTCAAGAAATACTGAACCATACAGGTAGGTGTGTTTATAGCTGATTAATTAATGCAACTGGGTGACATTGCGCGGTAGGCATCAATGACAAGACATTAGCTGAGTTTGTAATAGCCCTCCATGATCAGTCCAAGACTCTTCCGGAGTTTAAGCAAAGGCTTCAAGAAGTGGGAGCAGAATTCCCTGACTCCTTTGTTGAAAATATGGATCGGCTTATTTTAAATATGCACCCAAAGCACAAGAAACGGTCCACGAATACCAAGTCCAGGATGGTAGACGCGAGCCTGGCAGCCGAGGAGTTGGTATTATCAGAGAAGGAGAAAAAGGCTCGAATGTTTCCCGGTTTGTCGAAACCTGACCAGGAATGGCGGCCATCGGATGAGTTTGATGCCCCCGTCGAAGACGCAACTGCCAAAGAGGTTGACGATCTTATGTCCCAACTCGAAGGCGTTGCGAATAAGCGCGCACGTAATCGCCCCACTGCAGGTGATTTCCTTGAAGCGAATGGGGAACCATCTCCTAAACGTCGTCGTCCGAACTCACCCAGCCCTCCTCGTCACCCACCGCGACGAAGTCCTAGCCCTCCCCGAGATCGCGACGGCAGGGGCGGTTACCCTAGGGGGCGCTCCCAGACAAATGGGAGGGTTCAGCTTGATTCAAAACCCGTTCTCTACAAGATCTATAATGCTCGAGTTTCAAGTCTGAAGGAATTTGGTGCTTTCCTTCAACTCGATGGTGTTGAGGGAAGGGCCGAAGGTACCCTGCTGTGTAATTTATGCATGACAACGTGCCATTGACGCTTTTCTGTAGGGCTGTGTCACATTTCCGCCATTCAGGCAGGTGGGGGGAGGGTCAACTCCCCTGCTGACCTATTGTCTCGTGGTCAGTCCGTTAAAGTGAAAGTGATGAGTATTGCGGGAAGCCGAATCAGTTTATCGATGCGAGATGTTGATCAACGGACAGGGGACGATCTCACCCCACATTTGCGAATCAAATCAGACGCTGAACTGGCAGAGGAAACCCGACGGCATGCCGAGCGAGCATCTTCTTCCAATGCTATTCCTCTTGGTGGATTCGCCGGAGAGGCCGCATCCCATTCGGCGAGACGCCTCACTTCCCCCGAACGATGGGAGATCAAACAACTCATTGCATCCGGGGCGATTGACGCTTCCGAATACCCGAATATCGACGATGACTTTAACTCGCCAATGGCGAAAGCTGAAGTAGAAGAAGAACTTGACGTTGAAGTTCGTGAGGAGGAACCGCCTTTCCTTCGAGGACAGACGAAGCAGACTTTGGACATGAGTCCTGTGAAAATTATTAAAGCACCGGATGGTTCATTGAATCGTGCTGCCTTGGCCGGAGCTTCATTTGCGAAAGAGCGCAAGGAATTGCGGCAACAAGAAGCCAACGAATTGGCGGATTCGGAGGCTCGGGACTTCAACGCACCGTGGCTGGATCCGATGGCCAATAATCAGGACAAGATTTTCGCCCAGGATTTGCGTGGTCACCTCATGGGTCAGAAGGCGAGCGAAGTTCCGCAATGGAAGCAAGAAACATTCAACAAGGCAACAACTTTCGGAAAAATTACTTCGTTGCCCATCGCTGAACAGCGAAAAAGCTTGCCGATATACAAGCTTCGTGAACCCCTTCTGGAGGCTATACATGATGTAAGTTTTGTCCCGTCCCATCCCGCACTCTTTGTCACTGAATGAATTAGCATCAAGTCCTGATTGTCGTTGGTGATACTGGATCAGGGAAAACCACTCAAATGACCCAGTATCTCGCTGAAGCAGGTTACGCTGACCACAAAAAAATCGGATGCACGCAGCCTCGTCGTGTTGCCGCAATGTCCGTGGCAAAACGTGTAGCTGAGGAAGTTGGATGCCGATTGGGGCAGGAGGTTGGTTATACGATTCGGTTCGAGGATTGCACAGGTCCGGAGACGAAAATAAAATATATGACGGATGGCATGCTTCAGCGCGAGTGTCTCATTGATCCAGACGTGAGCGCCTATTCGGTCATCATGCTTGACGAGGCGCACGAACGTACGATTGCTACCGATGTCCTCTTTGGCCTCCTCAAAAGTATGTTGTTCCGGCTCCTTTTGAGCTCATCTGCAACGCTAACTGCTTCTTTAGAGGCTTTGAAGCGGCGTCCTGACTTGAAGGTTATTGTGACATCCGCAACCCTTGATGCCGAAAAGTTCTCGAGGTACTTTTTCGGGTGCAGTATCTTCACCATTCCTGGTCGGACGTATCCTGTGGAGATTCTCTACACGAAAGAGCCAGAATCTGATTATTTGGACGCCTCTCTCATCACCATCATGCAAATTCACCTGTCCGAGCCTCCAGGTGACATCTTACTCTTTCTTACTGGACAGGAGGAAATCGACACTGCTTGTGAAATACTGTTTGAGCGAATGAAGACTTTAGGTCCTCAAGTCCCTCAGCTCATTATTCTCCCCGTCTATTCTGCTCTTCCCTCCGAAATGCAATCGAAGATTTTTGATCCTGCGCCTCCGGGGGCACGGAAGGTAGTCATTGCAACTAATATTGCTGAGACAAGCATCACGATCGACGGCATTTATTATGTCATTGATCCAGGTTTTGTCAAGCAAAACGCCTACGATCCCAAGCTAGGCATGGACTCCTTGGTTGTGACGGTAAGTCCTTAAGTAACTTCCCGTGAGGTTCTCAAGGCTGAACATCAAATGTCATGTAGCCCATTTCTCAAGCCCAGGCTCGTCAACGTGCTGGTCGAGCTGGTCGCACTGGTCCTGGAAAGTGTTATCGACTGTACACAGAAGCGGCATATCGCAACGAAATGCTCCCCAGCCCTGTTCCAGATATTCAGCGACAGAATTTGGCCCACACTATCCTCATGTTGAAGGCAATGGGGATCAACGATTTGTTAAACTTCGATTTCATGGACCCACCACCCGCGCAAACGATGTTGACTGCATTAGAGCAGCTATATGCGCTGTCAGCGCTTGATGATGAGGGATTATTGACGCGCTTGGGGCGCAAGATGGCGGATTTTCCGATGGAGCCGCCACAGGCCAAGATGCTCATTGCATCGGTTGACCTGGGCTGTTCCGAGGAAATCTTAAGCATCGTTGCAATGCTATCGGTGCAGAATGTGTTTTACCGGCCAAAAGAGAAACAAGCTCAAGCTGACTCAAAAAAGGCCAAGTTCCATCAACCGGAAGGAGATCATCTCACATTACTAACAGTCTACAATGGCTGGGCTGCAAGCAAATTTTCTAACCCTTGGTGCTACGAGAATTTCATTCAGGCTAGAAGCATGAGACGCGCACAAGATGTGAGGAAGCAGCTCCTTGGTATCATGGATCGGTGCGTTTCTCGGCTCATTGTTTACCCTATCACACTATGGCGAATCGCACGCATAGGCGGCCTCGCTCATCCCGCCTTTCCCAAACTTCATTCGTTCTTCGGGCACATGGCCGATAGATTAACATTTACTTTTTTAGATACAAACACGACATCATTTCATGTGGGAGAGATTACAATCGCGCACGCCGTGCCATCTGCTCTGGATTTTTTCGCAACGCTGCCAAAAAAGATCCACAGGAAGGCTACAAAACTCTTGTGGAGGGTACTCCAGTCTACATTCACCCCTCCTCGTCGTTATTCAATCGAAACCCAGAATGGGTTATCTATCATGAATTGGTCCTCACGACGCGGGAGTACTGTCATAACGTGACTGCCATGGAACCCAAGTGGCTCGTGGAGGTTGCACCTCAGTTCTTCAAAATTGCGGATGCCAATAAAATCAGTAAGCGGAAGAAACAAGAGAAGATCGAGCCTCTGTACAACAAAGTGCGCCATGTCGTTGCCAGAAATATGACACAAACTAATCCATTATTAGTACGAAAAGCCAGACGAATGGCGTCTATCTAAAATCAAGCGTAGTGCCCGCTCGGTATGCTCACTTCGCTTTATACTAACTGATCAATATCGCTCATGCAAAATTTTTGTCATTCAGAGTCAAACATTTGGCTAGATCTGACAAAACTTACGCACTCACAGTTGTCGTGTGAAGGATTGATCTCTAGGATAATGATTAATGTCATACGGACAACATGTCGTAATTAATCCACATTAATTGTACAACTTTACTGGTTACATACCTGATACCTATGTATTAAGTAATAACACTGCCTGATCAATTCACGGGTCTCGGCGAGTCCACCTCGACTTAGTTTTGAGTAATTGCCCCGACATATATTCACTGCGTTTAAGCCAAAAATTTCGGTGTAGGAAATGGTTGGGATTAACCCGGTTTCCGCGAAATTTCCCGCGTCGGATATTGGTTCTGTCTGCTGGAGGATTGAGTGTCACTTCTCCATGGTTGGGGCCAGGAAATGATGGGGATTTGGTGGTGGCTGACAATCTATCATATTGATTTCTCGTCCAATCCACACCTGGAAACTCTAAACTACAGCATATATATTTCTCGATGTAGATACAAGAAAAACATTCCGCCCGAGTCTCCGGAACCACTCAACGACAACCACCTTACATCACAACTCAGGAGCGCAGCTCCTGCCCATAAACCTAGTACCTTGCGAAAGCTACGTGGGGTTCCACCCCTAACCTTTCACCCCTTTATACATCATATCATGGGGAACAGATGAACATACGAAAATATCAAATTAATGCTGTCCTGCTGCAGATTGCAACGCATAACTCATTGGTGAACCATAGAGCAAAAGCCCACATAGCAAGTGGGAGCTAAAGAGTTCACAGGGGAGAAACAAACCAGCAGAGATCAGCTCACTGGACTCAGAGACTAGTCCACTAGAGAAGAGACCACCAAGACGGCCCTGGATGTTGAACATAACATATCCGACCCCGTACATCTGGAATAATAGAAATGACAGCTATTCTAGTAAGACAACCCAAGTAACCCAGAGTAAAAGTCCAGTCCACTAAGTCTGCAGCAAAAAGCAAATACACATGCCCCCTTTGGATGTTCCAGCTAAGTTGACCATCGGAAGGGAACGCCAACAAATAATACAGACACATTTCCCAGGTGATTTATTGGTCAGTTTATGTTATATGTAACAGAAAGTGAGAGGATGGCACGAAGAAATTAATTTGATGCAAAGTCTTGAGCGGATTGCACGAAGAAATTGGGGACACGTGGTTTCATGCATCAATTTTCCGTCGACATTTCCGCTGTCGGACAAGCAAGCTTCGATTTCCCATCACGGAAAAGGCTGGAATTGCACGGCATCCGACAGCGGAAAGGGCTGCAGAAATTTTTGGCTGAAACGCAGTACTGATTGTTGATTACGCTGGCATCGTACTGGCCTTGTGGCGTTTACGCTTACCGCAATTGTCAAACGCAAAGATGACAGCGCTTCAAGCCTTCACTGGCTAGAGACATTACACCTTTATTCAAGGGCCAGACGGCTATTTGGAGGGAATCCGATGAGAGTCGTGCCCGCTTGTGCTTTCACAGGAGTAGGGATACCGTAATCCTCGGCGCCCAAACACTTGTTGGAGACATGTCATGCGAGGGAAGGTGGGCTCCCATCTTGAGGAATTTGGAATGCAGGCAGATGTTATAGGTTTAGCCTTTGATGTGTTTGAAGAAAACTCGAGAGGGAAACGCCAAACACGTCTCAACCTCCCACCCGTGTTAAGGATTAATTACCCGCATATTGCACAACCAGTCGAACTTCACTGAAGCTGTGCCCAGAAGAATACGACCAGAATTGTTGAGGAAAATATTGCTGGCCAGTTCAAATCCCCAATGCTACGTTCGACATTCCCCCTAGAACCAGAACTGAAAAATCTATGAAAGATGATGAGGGCTTGATTCGAACTCGACGGCTGGTGCCTGTGATGTGTACATTCAACAAGTATCACCTATGAACAAACACCTATATACTGTCGGAAAGAATGGCATTAGTGCATATGTTTCCAGTGACCTAAGGCACAAAGCTTTGGAGCAATGCTCCGCATTCTAGGTCCAGCGCATTATGATTGGTACTCATGTCCCCGACAATTTATTCGGAGATTGTCAGGTCGGCACCCCATGATACCATTAAATGTGGGAGACCATTTTGGTATATCTGTGTTCCATCAATTTCCCATTCGTAAAAAACATAAAGAGGAATGCTGGCCTCATGCTAGACGTCCCTTACAAACAACCTACACGTGAACATCTTGGGGATGTTGAAAAGCCGTATTCGATCGGAATGCACCAGAGTTATCGCTGAGTGGAATCAAGGGATCGCAAATGTGGGAAAACCAATATTGCAGTGCGGAACAAAGAGAGGAATGACAAAACACTGCACAGAAAGGGGAAAGACAATCCTCCGCTGCAGATGATAGGAATGGCAAGTAGAAATCGTTAGGGACCATAACGGCAACGGTCAGGTGAATGGGGCACAGAAGCATCTAGGTCAAATGCAAAACCGGGTGGGTCAGGAGTTGTGCAGTCTGACAAGCTGGTGTCCACCGATGCTATGGTTGAGAGATCGAGCGTCCAGACCTCAGGAATGATGGGAGAAAACACAAATAGAGTGTGTATGGGCTTCCGGCACACCAGAGGAGACAATGTCATCGACAGCGACAGCACATTCAAATGATTCATTTCATGTCTGTATTCGGAGTTTCCCTTTACCCCGATACTCGGGGATTTCCGATTTTTTCCCTTAGCTCAGATCAGCATCACAATCACTTCTGTGTCCTAAGTAAGTGTTCTCTAGTATGCTGAAGGCGATTTGTTGGATTGTCCATGAAGACGGGCCTTGTCGCTATTTTGGCGGAGTTGCCCGTTATATTTAAAACATTATTATGTAATTATGTACCTAGACGTGCTTTGCTGATAAATTACCTTACTGTCTTTCTGGTAGCGTTAAGTGAGTAAAGGGTAGTTCGGACTCACTTGCCCATCCATTTGAAATGCCATCTCGCCCACAATTTCGGCGCTCAGCGACTCTCACGGGACCCATTCATTTTTTCAGCAAGTACTGTTAGACATTTTCGGCTAGATCATGTTCCCAATCAAGTTCGAATATTTCTGGGGGCAATCCAACTATTCGAGCCTTTTCTCTTCTCTGACTCAGGCGTATACAAATTATATTATGGGTCCGGGTACCCGGGATCACTCTCGTCACAGCTGCGCCCTATTCATGATGCAGACTCGCACCTGCAGCGTGGGCCGTCGAGTCAATAACTAATTACATCCAGTAATCCTCGCGGCCCATGCGTCGCTTCACACTTCTGTGTTAACGAAATGACAACATCTGGCTCCCTGAACTATACAATATATATCATAGTTCGAAGGCCATTATATGAATTGTTGGTTGGCACATGCACCTCTCTTCATCGAACGAGCTCTAGTATGATCAGATCACCGCATCAAATATATTCATGATCAGTCTGGTTGCGTTCTCTGCTGTGGCTCGTGTGTATGCCATTTGATGAGATTGATCAATGAGACTGCGCTGTTGTCACCATTGTTCTTGAACAATAATTATTCTTTGGCTTCGGTGCTTGATTCGGATGGCTCCGACTCATGCAGCTACGGCGGATCTCAGATCAAATGCTGACACGAGGCATGTTCATGTTGTCGTGGATCGCACATACCTGCGGATTGGCTTCGCTGGGTTGCGTTTCAATTCCCCCCTCCCCACCTTCTATTATCCTGACATCCTGGCCTATCAACAACATCAAATTTCCTTCATGATGGCGGGTTCCTTGGTCTTTTTTCAAACTACTTTATGTTTTGATCGTGGCATCCGAAAATTCACATCAATCGGAGGTGTTTTTTATCCCCGATCGTAGTGCGCTTTCATTCCTTTGAGAATCCCCGGCCCGTTGAAACGTCATAAAGCTGGTCTGACGCCGAGATAGACCCTTAAATCATCAGCGTCATCATTGTGGCCATATCCGACCAAGATAGGCGATAAATGCGCCTTTCTATTTGCCCCTTGGTCTTGTCCGGCTCAAGGCTCAGTTCAGATGGCCCGATACGACAATGGCCTGTATCCATAAGTACGGATAGTCGCGTCTCCGACGTGCTTTCTTTCCCCCAACTCCTGAACTATTTGGCTTTTTCTTAGCAACGTTGATACTGATCGGAGGAAACAGCATCAGCTTGGCTACATCCACTTGTCTGGGTCCCAGCTCCGACATCTGGTGTCCCCGTCCGTGTTCAATCAATCCCCCCTCAAACTCTGCGTAATTTTGACCTTTTCTTTTACACGCAGCTCGCAACACCCATCACCCCTTCGCGCCCCAAGCGTATTTTGTTTCTCGGTGCACCCCCCATTCTTTCCGAAGCTTTCAAAATCGCGCACCGAAGTAGCTTCACTATTCGTAACACCATCTTTAGGAACTTAATTTGGATCATCCCTAGCGAACATCGTGACCCGGAATTGATTTGGTATAGGAGTTGTGTAGGATCACCCCACCCCTTCTACCCTGTGGCGTAAGTATCAGCTATATCCACGGCTTTATATTTCCCCTAATTAATTCATCGGTTTCCCATATCAATCTCGCGTGTCCAACTCTCAATTCTTCATGATCTCGATTTCGGAAGACGACACAGTGTTGCGAACGTTCCCTCGTTGCAGGCAGATAACCCAAATTCCAAATACGCAGAAAACCCCCTTTGTATTGGCAGATTCTCCGCCTCCGACACCAAGTCATTGTGTGGCGGAAAACTATAAAGGTGACTGATCCCCTAGCCCGGCATTATCATTCCCAATCAAAAATACTCTATCCCGCCCAGAAATAGCCTTGAATTCCTACTCACATAACCATTCCTCAGTACCCCCATCCGAAAAGAAATTATACCTAACGGAACAATAGCCCTGCCAACCCACCTTCCGTGAATCTTCTTGTTGATTCATAGTATCGCGATTTGCACTTCGCCTGGCACCCCGCACAGCTTTATTGACACCGTTGGCTCATCCTTGTCAACCCCTATCATCCTCCTGAACACCCCTAACGTCTACCAACAATGACGGACGCACAAGCTTTGAACGCCCTTAATCAGCACCTATCAAGCGCCGTCGCCATATCGACATGGCTAGAGAACCGCCCCGGGGCCGGACCTGAGGGTGCACCTTACGATAAGCTGGGGAGCGAGGTACGATCTCGTAGTACAATATTCGAAGTCCGAACTAACCCTTCTTGAACACTTCTGCTCCACTCCTATAACTTAAACTA